ACTATAAGAAGTCCTCATGAAAGTACTTGCCCATACTTAAATCCCAAAATTTTTTCTGCACCAGGTAGCAACAAGGGTCTGATTTCCAAAAATAGAAAGGAAACAGGGGGTCGACCACCTCAAATTCCCGCCACAGCTGATGATAGTAACAAAACCTCAACTTTGACCGGCTACATTTTCCATGGTATCCATCCGCCTGGCCAGACAAGACCTAACCACTCACATCTCTCACTACGCCCACTAAACTGCTGAAATAAACAAAACTTGACCAATGTAGGAAAGTTTAGACCCTATCTGTGCCTTCAAAATGGACCAAAACTTTCAAGAGAAAAAAGGATTTTCAAAGGTATTAACTAGGCACTGTACTGCGCAACGCAAATGTGGTGTCTGCCCAGGTAATAAGATACGCCAAAAGACAGTTACTTATGCAACTGGATATGATTTTGGAAACGGTCAGACGTTCCAGGTACCATCCACTACCTGTTTGAAACATAGTTTACTCATGGGAAGCTCAAATCAACCTAATGGCCGATTTTCATTGGTCATGAGAGAAAGAGATAACGGTCTGACAAAACATATGACAAAGATACAGTTTACCTAGCTATGGTATAAGTTCAAAACAAATATATACACATATTTTACATATACATGGTACAAAATACATACATATGAGTGTAGCTGGTACATGGTTTGCGACTGTTCGTTTTAGTTATTTCTGATTTCTGTAACTTTAAGAGTCTCTAAAAGGGAGCCAAATTTGGTGCCATCCGTAGGAATTTAGGTCAAAGGTCCCAGAAAAGTTTATCTCATCTATTGTCTTACTACTAATTGCCTACTACATGCTTGCCTGTTTCCAGAGAGCCAGTGGAAAAATTAATGGAACAAGACATTAAAAAAAAACTTCTTCACAGACGAATGACATGTCTGATATCTTGTTAAATTAGTTTGGCTCCTCAATATTTCTCGCGACATATTTGACAAGGTTAGGGCACGGGGCATTTTAACGCCACTAAACAAATCTACCCAAGGGATGGCAGAGAGCGCTGTCCTGAATGGAACCTTCTGGATCGATAGTCAGGCTACGTCTAGTGAGGCTACAGGTTAAAGTATTATCGATCGGGGGAGAGATGTCATTATAACATGATCTATCGTTCTTCACATTCAATCAACACGTTGGGGAGGGAATTAACTTTGTTCTAACACAGCAAGAATGGACTCATCAAACTTTCTACCAGCCCTTTTCACGGTAGGTTTGGGCAGCGCGTCGGCAGAATGTACGGCGCCTGGGCAAAACTCTGATCTTTTAGCATCTATTATATTATATATTTTATGTACCAACCACTAAGTATTTGATACCAGCCCAGAAAAGAACAAGAAACAGTCATGCCTTCAAATATCAGAGTTATCAACCAAGAATTGAGGTATTCAAAAACTCGTATTTCCCCAGAACTATCGTAGAGTGGTACTCGTTGCCACCGAGCACAGTTGGGGCATCATCACTAGAAAGCTTTAAATAACTCCTACAGTCAAATGTGCAAAGATTGAGTGTAACAAGTCGTTCGGTGTGATATACAGCTAGCTGCCGCCGCGCCGCGTGCCTGTAAAGCTGGTGTGTTACGCCTAAGGGCGGTTATACCGGCTATACAGATACAGATACATCTACCAACAGGCTTCGGGAAGCGGCTGGATAGATTGGAAATTGACCAGAAAGACAGGTAACATACCGCGGAGTTGGTCCGCGCTGAGAGAACATTTTGCCGCTCCTTTTCGGGAACATTGAACAGGATTATTTGGTGAAGAAAGTGAAAGAAACTATGTCGAAAGGGTCAATCAACTTTGAACCTGGTTGGGGGACGATACCGACTTCCAACCACCTTTGACCCGTTGCTTAAAGTCACTTACTAATAGGCCTATCCTGTAGAAGAACGGAGTCCACTCTTCATGTGCCCGGAACGACGTTCTTTCTCTCCACAACGTTTTATCAACACTGCTGAACGGTACGCCCACACACACATACGTTCTAGACATTTTCGTTTGCTCATGTGAATCGCTTTCACATGCAGGGCACAGAAGCTGTTTTCAACTGGGAACCACGGAAAACATTATTTGACATACCCCCTTATATAGCTGAACACATTACACATTCTTCTGTGGTGCCACACCGTTGTATACACGACTCAAAGGTTAAAATGCTGATTGATTTGACAGGTTTTACGCTATAACGGAAATCCCTGTTTGGTTATAGAAACGTGTACAACGTGACTCCGTGTGTGTATCCAGGTCACCCCGATGCGCTTACAGGCACGTTCTGCATGTAATGGTCCGCGTGCTTCTTTTCCTGGAACAAAACCCGATCCCAACTTGTCCTTCAGGGTCTTAAGTGGATCTTCACTAGATAATAAAACATCAGAAGACAGCAGATGACCCATACATGTGAAGAACTGACCGATGACTCTCTATATAGCATTTTCGGTGTCTTATCTGACGAAAGTAAGAGAGGAAATCGAGTTAAATGCTTAGCATGCACGGGGTAAAAATTTGGGGTAAGTCCCAATTCTGTAATCTAAGTGTTGGAAGTTAAAGCTTAGTCTTTATTTCATAGAGTTAAGTGCTATTGACATGTGATATGTGGTGCGTTCAAGCTAGGGATCGAGTGGACTCAGAGAAACCTTTACAGTGGAAATGTCACTGAGTTCTACTACTAACAAGAAGACGTTCAGCTTTTGAAACATTCGGCGAACAGTAGCCGACCTCGCCGAACACCAGCCAACCACAGCCGATCTTACTTCCCGGCCGACTTAAAATGTAATGTGCCAAGAAATGGCAGTAAATGTCAATATCAGACAGATTTCCTCATCCGGTGTATTTACCTCCATGAAAAATGGAGGTACTGTTTTAGGCGTGTCTGCCTGTTTGTCTGTGTGTGTGTCTGCATGTCTGTGTATTTGTGCTTACGGACATTTACGGCCAGCATAACTTTTGAACCTTTGGATGGATTGTAGTGATATTTGGTATGTGGGTAGGTGTTGGGTAGGCAAAGGCCAGGGTCGATTTTGGGCCTCCTGGTTGCTGACCTTGGTACTGCAGCAGAACTTCCGGTTTTTGTATCTTTTGTCCTGGACATGCTATGGTCTTGATTTTTGAGTGGCGGATAGCTTTTCCTGTCAGTAATAAGTGGTGTGGGTTTGGTCCCCCTAGCAGCTTATATGGACTTACAACTATGTGCGTGGGGTTACACTTCCTTGTATTCACTTGAGTGTTTACATGTTTAGAAGTCCATGCTCATTATGTCAATGACGTGTCCATGCAATGCACGCATAGCTTACGTGCAAACTATCACGTTTTTCATCACCATGAAAAATTTCAATTAAGAGAACAAATACCAGAGTGAATTGCTCCCGGCATGACGCCCGTTATAAAACCTCTCCAACAGGAAACCATTTCGCTGACAGCGTGGTGTACAAATTGTTGGACGGCCATGTCCTTTTGATGTCCAATTTACTTTAGATGGCCTTGCGACCCACGCTTCCTCAAGAATTCTCAGTGTAATATTCGTCATTAATAATGCAGGTGATTGGCGTAGTTTGTATCTTACAAAATAACTGACGGGCCGCCCTGTGCCTGCGTAGCTGGTGTGTTACGCCAAGGGACGGTTATATCAACTCTACAGATACAGAAGCTGGTGTGTTACGGCGAAGGGCGGCTATACAGATACAGAAGCTGGTGCGTTATGCCGAAGGGCGGTTATGACGGCTGTACAGCAGATACAAAAGCTGGTGTGTTACACGCCGAAGGGCGGTACCGGTATACCGGCTATACAGTACAAAAGCTGGTGTGTTACACGCCGAAGGGCGGTTATACCGGTTATATACCGGCTATACAGATACACAAGCTGGTGTGTTACACGCCGAAGGGCGGTTATATCAACTATACAGAGAAGCTGGTGTGTTACGTTGAAAGGAAGTCACACCGGCTGTATAAATACAGAAGCTCGTGTGTTGCGCCGAATGCATGGTGATATACCTTTCTATTACTTCTTCTGTACGTATAAGAGTAAGTTAACATCAAAAGTTCCTTCCCGCACCTACATATGGTGCATAGGGCGGCCCACATATCCGTTTCTGTAGCCCTTGGACCACGCAGTGGTGCAATACAACGGGGGGCTAGTCCACCGGTAGTGGTGCGTGTTTAACTCCCATACTCTTTCCCAAATGCTTAGTGCTGGGCACAGAAAGCAGTATGCACCATTTTTAATGTCTTTGGTATGACTCGGCCGGGGTTCGAACTCACAACCTACGGAATGCAGGGCAATGACACTTGGAAACAACAGGACGACTGTACATGGCTTCAAGACACGTTTCCATTTCCTGGACCAGTGCGCGACCATTTTTCAGTCAAGAGTTTAACATGAAGTGAGCAGATGTAAATAAAACCGGTGTCTTCGTGAAGACACATATTCTATCCATCTAATCTATTCACCTGATTTTATTCACGAAGAGTTGCAGGGATTTTTGCAGCTATTAATAGCAAAAGGGAAAAAACCTGTTCTGAAAAGTATCACGTGTAAACAATCTTCCAAAAGCCATACAATAATACGATTATGTACCTACTTTGGAGTTATTTTACCCCATTACATATTTAAATGCAATAACTCCCACAATGTAAGGCAACCACCTAATATGGATTAATTGGAAGTGTAACATTTTGCTTTATACCTAGTATTTCTTGAGGGTAAAAAAAAACACGCCATTCAAAACGAAAACTGCCGTATAACAGCGCACCACCAAAAGATTTGCTACTGCTTTGAGTAAATATTATTTCTCGACGGTGACAGTTTGCTATATATCTAACATTTATCGTTGACGGCACAAAAACACACGGTCACACCATCAAAAAAACATCTGCCATATAATAGAGCGCCTATTGTGAAAGATTTGCTATTGCTTTGGGTAGATATCCTTCCTCAACGGTGACGAAAAGGGACTGAAAAATGATCTTACCTATCCGCAAAGCTTGGGTCGGTAGATTTGCTTCGCGGCGGCCGCCTGTCTGACACCCCGGTATCCTACAGCCACTGAGCGTCAGCGCTAAGGATTTTTTCTAAATGTAAGGCCATGTTGATTTGATTATTTGTTTGGGTAACATCCAGGCTCGCATGAATTTTTGTCCGTTTCCAAAAATACAAGTTTCCAGCCACACTGTAAATCGTACAGCACAGCTGCAGAATGGGAAAAAAAGGCAAAATATGTTAGACACGTGTAGACACTTATATGCAAAATATGTTACACACTTGTATGCATATATATCGTAAAACGATACTAATGTCGTAGAATGCCAAAATCAATTCCAAAGGAAAAGAAGAAATTTTGAAGAAATAAAAATGAAAAGTCTGTTATTATTCGCCATGCCGAACTCTGTGTGTTTAGTCATTTGTTCAACCTCCATGACCACCCTGATGACCACGTAGATTCCATAATGAAGGCAAAACCTTTTTTGCCAAACTCTTTTTATTCGTACGCTCGCATCAGTTTTGGGGTTAGCAGAGGATGTCATCCATATAATGAAATCAACATAGCCTAAAAGCGGTCCTAATTATGACCACGACGGTCAGTGCCCTCCCGACTTCAGAGCCCGGCTGGGCTACACCAGCATAACCCATGCAAAACAAGAGGTCGATGACTTCATATACCTTCGTCATGTATGGCCCTGGGTTATCAGGAATATGCTGCTGTATACGGTTTGACTTTTACTTTGCTGGTATGTGAACCAAAGGATTTGTACAGAAACACACGTTACACGAGTATGGACATTTTCCAACATAGTCACGATGCTTATTGTGACGTAATCAACCCTTACACATTCACTAACAATTAAAAATGAATTCAGCTTTAAAAAGAACAGTTACGCCAAATTAATATCAATAGCGAGAGCGCACATAGAAATACCTATCTCATCGTTCCGGTTGACACTATAAAAAATACGTCCCTACATATCCATTATTAACGTAACTTTGGCTTACGTAGCTTACAAAATCGCTAGAGTACCTAAAATTGATCTTGACCTTCTTTTTCCCAACTTCATCCTACCTACCAAATATCATAAAGATACATGCACCACACCCCAAGTTTTAACCGATTGAAAAAAAATCAGCAACCCCTATGTATGGTGTACCTAAACACATAGCCTTCTGACGAAGGTAATAAAGACAGATAGATTGGTTTTCCACATCTGCTCAAACCTTGTACGATGTTTTTTAAAACATTCCTCATTTCCTGTATGATTACGTGGAAAATATCAGTCTGCAGCAGTTTTCTTAATCCAAAAATCCTCTTTTCAAGTAGGGAAATGGATTTTAAATCTTGAAAATCCGCAGAGTATTTCCGCTAGATTTGCTCTTCTCTCTTGCAATGCCACACAGATTATTTGTAAGGTTAGTTACTATGATTAACGGTCTTACAGAGATTCTGTATGGCATTGTACAAGCCGCATAGTAACTCATGTACATGCATGTGAAAGAGGAACACATTATCACTAATGCCTTAAATTCTAAATCTCAATCTTAAGCTGAAAGCCGCTGCCTGATTCAAACTTTGCCATTTCGAATCAAATCAATTCAACTCAATCCTTATCAGTGTTATAAAGCACGAAAGCACTGAACAAGAAGACGTTACAAACGCAAATGCAACGGTGTGTCTTTTTTTGTTGATCAACAGCATCCAATTCTGCTTCAAAATGCTTTAAGCTGTGAGCCTGTGTGTGTTACATATGCCTGCAGTATAACCTTGAGCGCTTGGGGAGCTGTTTGACGGTCTCTTGGCCATTGCTGAGAGGAGTGAAAGAGGCTATTTACATCAGGGCCCATCACCCTTCACTTAACCGCGACGGGGACCACATCGTCTACCAGATACCTTTGACCCAGTGTTGACGTCACACGTCAAAGAAGCCACGTGACAAGCCTCACTGGGTCAGTCTACTGAGGAAGACCAGAATGACTGGTCGAAAGCTCTAGGTGAGAGAACTTTTTGTGTTGGATCTAAAGTTTTAACTTTAAACATAAAGGAATATGTTATCGGATAATGATACATGTAAGTGGGGGAATGCGCATTTCATGTAAATTATCACGTTCTGAAGGACTACCACGACAACATTCTAAGACTGTTTTGTGAAACAAGAAGACGTTGAAGAAATATAAGCCTATTTTCATCTGCCTGTTAGTCAATACATTTAATCTTCATATCAATGCTGCATTAAAGGTGTATGATTATTTTCAAACTCGCTGCAGTGCAAAGGGCGCCAGTATTACTCAGCGGAATTAACTAGAACTGCACCTAACGGTACGAACTTCGTAATGTGGATGATGATTGGTCCAGTCTCGATAAATATAACCAATCAGTATTAGAAAAACATTTGCCCCGTGGAATAAGACTTCAAGTGTACCACTGAGCTAAACATTGTTTGACATTGTTGTTATCAACATTAGATTTCCAATGTCTACTCTGATTAGCTAGTTTTCCATTGCCTCTGGCCAATCAGCATTCAATTACGTACCAAACGTCGCTATGTGTTGATTTGCCAACGTAACTTTAATTAACCAATGAGTGTGTACAGTGTAGCTATCATGAAGCTGAATTCGAGCTACAGCAATTATTTAATTGACTCCTACATGTAGAAGTCGCTCTTAAATATCCAATGTAGGCCGTATATTGGCAGTATTATCATGTTGCAATTTTGGAGTGGTAAGTTGCTGACTCTATATTGATGACTGTTTACTTTCTACTTTGTAATATTCCTAGATGATCAGGGTTACGTTATATGCAATCTTGTAACTTGAAAATATCCTGATGTAGATGTTTTAAACGTTTTGTCTAAGCTTCAGCAGTCAGTAAAATGGCAGTTTATGACTGCTTCATTCAAGTAAGGTACATGTACATGTTGCTAGTTAGCATTGGCTATATGGACAAACACTAAAATTGTACCTGGAAATACCCGACAATATGCATTGTTGTAGCCTTAGCTTATGTTGCAGTACTATTGGAATCCGCTTGGTGACGTCCTTGACACGCAGTCAAAACTAGGTGTAAGGCCACACCAAGTAAATTTTATGGATGACGTCCTTTGGGGACCCTAAATCTAATGCGAGAGGGCGAAAAAAACAACGGCCCTAAAAACAAGAATGTCTAGATTAGAAATATACTAAGAGACGACAAATGTTAGGACACAAATTGAATGAGGTGACACAGTGTAACAAGCAAGTCTTTTAGTCATCATCAAAACAGCAATAAATCAGGTGGAACAGCAGTTGTCGTCCTGTCCTGTTTTGCGGCAAATGTGCTCTTTACCCATTTCGCGTTACGGGTTTCATGTCAATCTGACGATTTGTGGCACTGTTGTGACTCTTTGGTCATAGTTACAGCATGGTTACAGGAAGCGGAATTTCTTGTTGTTTTTTCTAGGAACAGGCCAAAATCAATGCGCGCGCGGACGTCATCCCTAAAATTCACTTGGTGTGGCCTAAGAGACAAAGATCATAATTTGCAAGCCTCACTATCAAAAGAACAAACACACAAAAGCAGAAGTCGTAAATCTCACTTTTAATGAATCAACACAGAAATATTGCAAGTTACACATTTCTTTCTTGTTTAACTTGTTGGAATTGCACAAGCCCAAATAAATACAATTGCAGACATGTCGTATTACATACACTGAGTGATCAACATCTCTGAACAGTCTACGGTTGGTTACACTGTATAACATCAATGCTCCCAAAGAGCTTTTAATAGTGTCACAAAATATTTCAAGATGTCTTCGACAGTATTCACAAAAAGCTTTTAAAATGCACCTTGCAATGTTACTCCAGGTGCTTTTGATTTGGTAAGCGGGGCCCTATAGTATATCAGTTACTTAACAGTTTTGGCACACAGTTTTGAATTATGAAGTGATATTTAAAAGAAATTTAAGATGACAGCAGTTACATGTGAAACGCTGTTTCATTGAAGGTAAGGAAAATGAGCTAATTTTCGTTCATTGGTCAATCAAAGATGTAAGAAACATTTTTCTAAGGTGCTACTGCTCTATTATGGTACTCAATAAGGAGAAATTGGCCTTTTACATGCCTACAACATTGCAACATTGTCAATTCTGTATTATGGAATACAGACTTAAAGCACATCTTACTACTGGTCACAGAATTTTGTCTGGTCAGAAATGTCAGCAGAGATATAGTTACTTTGCTATATGCATAATACATCGTGGGTTTTATGACAGAAAGACCTGACATCCACATTTAACATTGACCGACAAATCCTGCTAAACATCATACAATGTAGTCTGTTCTTTGACAATGGGAATGTTGCACTGATTTCAAGCCCTGACTTTTATTGCACATTGCCTGTCTGTTTCACACTATGGTTATCATCAATGTTTTTTGTGACACTGGCTCTTCAATGCACCAAATCTGTGTCAGTTATGGTTATGTTTAACATTGTCTCCCTTGACTATATAATATATATGACTGTCAATTTTGTCCCCATGTGTTTAAATTTCTGTCTGTACAGCATTTCAAACTAGTGTATACCAGTATGGAACAGGCTAGCGAATACACAATGCACATTGGTTTCTGTCTATCTTCTACACTATAAAATGTAACTTGGACAGTCACTAGCTTGGTACAATGTACTTTTACAACCATGGTAGCCAAATTTTTCACTTCAATAACAGCTAGCCACAAGAGAATTTCTACTATACTATAACATGACAAACCTTTACAAGCAAATTACCAACAGATCTGTGAATGTAGAGCAGTGAAGGTTGCAACCCTGCCTTTGGATCAAAAGTTGCAGCGCAAGTTGCAACCTTAGCAATACAGTTTTGTATATTCTCTCAGTAGAGTCTTTCAACTAACCTAACAGAAATCTGTAACAATTGTCAAGCAACCTTCTTGATACGAGCATTCTATATTTTGAAGTGTAGAACTTTATACCAGAATTTCATATTCATACCTAAAAGAAGTAGTTAGAGACATGATTAAAATAGAAACTCCAGTAATAATCAAAAAGTGTAAAACAGTGTTTTGTATAACATTTTAAGATGTATCACTACTGAGTCAAAGAACACAAAACAGAGACAATAATTAATTGCTTTAGTATTAGCATAGCAAGAACCAAATCATGCATAAGTCAATATAAATTCGGGAATCATTGATAGTAAAAGAAGCCATTGGAAGGCTAAGAAAAAATGCTTAAACTCATAGAAGATACTGTAAGAAACAAGTGGAGACAGTAAAAACCCCACTGGTCCCGGGCCGGGGTTCGAACCCACGACCAAACCCGGGCACCAGTCCACAGGCAGACACTCTAACCTCTCCGCTAAAAGGTCTAGACCCGTTTGCCGGATCAGTTGGTTGCGCCTATAAACCCCCCACTGTTACAATACCAACCAGGGGCAAACGTTCATTTAGTTGCTGTAAGTATATGGTACTAGAGGATGCTAAGACTGAAATAGACGTAGAGAGGCACAGTTACATTTGTAATGAAAAGATTCTGAACAAGCTGGAGAGAGAGTGAGATAGTCAGAGTGAGTGAGAACAAAACATTGTTACCATTATATCAGAACTTAAAACAAAAATACAATATACAGAACTTTGCAATAATGGCAACAGAATTGACTACCTAAATCTGTAGTGTAGGACAGCATATTTGAACATACGTAGCACTTAAAGGCTACATGTAGGAGGGCCTGCAAGCCCTTTTTTGTAAGGCGTAATCAGGCCGTTTTAGACTTCGTAATTCGTAGGCAGCCTCCGCAAAAATCAACGTAATTCGTAATTGGACATTAGCCGCAAATCATAAAGTCGTAATCAGCTCTGAGACCTTAACGTAATTCGTAATAGGCGGCGAAAATTTTGTGTAATTCGTAATCACTACCCCCCCATGCAGGCCCTCATGTAGGGCTGTAGGGACAAAATAATAGATATGGAATGTTCTATGTTGCCATAGCAACAAATTCCCATAGCAACTATTTCTGATGAATCTACATCAGATTCTATGACAGAACATTCACATCAACATAGCTGCTACTGCAACTTACACCAATTTACCAGCACAACACATGTACAGTCTTCAACAGAATGAAACATCTAATATTATTGTCAACATTTACCAATCCCTATGGCTTTCATCACTAATTATTAATAAGCAAAATCCTATCTTTTTTCAAAGCAACTCTCTCTGGGGAGCGTTAGAATTTCAAAGCACAAATATAGCATTCTGTTGTTTTTTTTCTTTTTGTCAAAAAAACTTTTTCTGTGACATTATAAGTTTAACGCACCTTAGAATCTATTCCCAAATATATCAAATATGTTTGACAGCTTAAGTTTAAAGATGCATGGCGAATACAGATTTGTCCAAATTACATCAAATATGTCTTTAGCTGGATAAGAATATGTGAATGGTTTGAGCAAGAAAAAAGTAATAAACTATGTTCCCTTCCCCTTCCAGCATCAAATAATGAACAAAGATGGTGGACATCGCTCGAAATGTTTGCAAATAGCACGTCGGCAGAACGCACTGCACCTGCGCGAAGCCCGTAATGTATTGTACATAGCACTTCAACAGAACGTCTCATATAAGGTCGTATTCGCGTATATAAGGTTAACATCCTGTCTGTAGTTTCCAAATGTTATGTAGGAAAAGATATCCTTTGCAACAGGCAAAATTCTGATGCAACGTTGACCAAAAATCCACCGGAAACCGTGAAAATACAGGGTTCTACGCAGGCGCTGTACGTTCTGCCGACGTGCTTTTGCAAATAAGATTCACATCGTCCCTGTGCAGTGGTTGATTTGTCAGTAAATTTTGTTGCCTTCAATAAAATACTTGATGCGGACACAAAACGTGTCAATATTAGTGTACCAAATTCTCAACTGAGAAAACATACTATTAGGATTCTTTACATATAGAAGCTAAGAAATATCTGGGGTATACAATAATTATTTTTTATTGTCTAGATATCACAGTAACAATGTAAACACAAGCAACACATCTACATTAGAAATAGAACACTTGGATGTGATATCATGTTAAGAATAACCTGACAAACTGTTGAACCCCCTCATAAATCAAGAAAGAAAATATTATGTATAATGTTAAACAAATTAATTAAGACAGCTTTGGAAATTTTACAAAATGTCATAACTACAAAGAATTGTCTCCATGTATTATAATGGCTATTTGGAAATCGTACAGTCCATTTGTAAACCTTCACTGACTGGATTTTAAGTCTTTTAAGAATAAAAAAAGGTTAAAAATGATACAACAAAGATCTGAATGTTTCTCACTCAAATAATGAGTATTGAATCTTTGTACCTAGTTTCATTTAATACTACAAAATTGTACTTAACTTAAAACATTCTGTCTTTTTGTCATCTGTTCCGACTGCAATTTGTTTCACCTTATACAACTACATGTAGATATGATCTTTATACAATTAATAAACACAAAAACTTCATGTTTTCTCTTTAAAAAAACAATAGTATGCATGTTATATATGATCAATGTAATAATATGTTGTTTTATGTTGCAATTTCAATAAAATAAAATAAATAGTTAAATACTATGAATTAATTTTAAACTTTGTCTTGTAATGCAACAAAATAAAAATTGCAACCAGCCACCCAGCAACTAGTTGGACGTTTTCTAATTCACATATCCTAAAAAGCATTGAACAATGTTGCATATTCAGCTTATACTGCACTTCAAATAAGAATAATTATACACACTGTTGCAACAATAAAATAACAATGCTGTGTCTTATATTTGCAATAGGTACATGTAAATGCCAAAGACACATCTATATTATAACTTTGTGACACTTTTCAACATTATCTAGTACCTATTATAACAATTCTTCAGACAACTTACAATAGACCACAACTATGACTCTTCAGCTACTGAATAACTACATGAAATATATTATTATAGATATATAGATATATAATATATATTTTGTAACATTATATTCAAGAGTTGACATTAACACACAAAAAGTAAAATAAACATTTTTTTAGGGCCCATCGACTCAAATAAATACACCTGTCCAGCATCTTTACTTAATGTATATTTCCACATTTACATTCTTTCCATAAGCTTGAGAGTTACATGAAACTGTTCCCATCAAAATGCACCAAAATGGACTACTCCTCTCGTTAATTCCTGTGAGAAATGTCTTGCACTACCCACTACCAAAACTTACACTGATAGAATAACCAATGAGATTATACACAGTACCAACCCTACGTGTATTTGTCCGCTGACAAAGTTGTCGCTGAGAATCCGGGTCCTCCTCCTCCTCCCATTAATTGGAGACGTTTGGCACACACTCCACTACTCGCGCTCACACGATCTGGCACATTTTGGACTTTTTCCGATGTTTCGGGGTGGGCTGGTTGTTGGAATGGTAGCCGGAGCTGACGGACTCAGAACCGCCGCTGTTGAGTCTCGCCCGGCTGCTCTGCTTTTTGCCCCGCGTGCTTTTCCTACCGTTTGCGAAGAGTCGGCTGCCACCAGTCGCCCCCGGGGCCGTCTTCTGGGTCTGACTGGCTTTTCTCTTCTTGTCGTCTGCACATGTCAGAACAAAAACAAATTTCAGCTTTTTTTTTGTTGATATCCAGACACTTGCTAGATTTTTAACATGTCCAAGGACAAAAGAAATAAGACTGGACAGATGTGCATTAAAAAAAAATTATAGTTTAATCTAACACTGATTTTCAACAAAATCAAACATTTTTTTCTATACAAATCATAAAATAGTGATCATCATCACGTAATTCTATTATCTGAAACTCAAAATGGCTTCATCTAATCCAACATTATATCAGAATCAAAACCCCATTTTTTAAACACCTACCTGACTTTCAATTCATCTAATTGGCATGCAAAGACAAACATTTTTTTAGCATTCCCTGAACAAATTCTAGTAAAACAGGCAATATTCATAGGATTCATCAGATTTCATTAGAAACAGATTATGAATGCAGCATTAAATCATGCTGTCAAGGCCCCACTGACTGTCAACAAAATCCAAGTCTGCTGTATAAGAATTACTTAAATATGCATTTTGACTGACATTTCAGTGACCATCTGTCACCTTCTTCAGGGCACCAATTACAGATTTGTACTATAGCCAGGTGTTCTGCTGCAAAATTACAAAGTGTGGTCCCAAATGTAGAGTTACATGTCCCAATAAACAACACCTAGCTACAGTGCAAATCAGAGTCATTGTTGCCCTGAAGAAGGTGACAGACGGTCACCAAAATGCAGGAAGTGAAAACCCCACTGATTGTTGAATAAAGAGCCCTCTTATAAAGTCTCTTGCCATCCTGATGAAATTATTCACGTCTTACCATCAAGAGTGGTCTCACTACTGAACTTGACTTCCTCCACCTTCCCATTAAGCAGCTGTAAGATGGGCACGACGGCCTTGTCGGTCAGGTGCACGATGACATGTGTTCCATCAAGTGTCACCTTCAGGTCCCTGATCCCCACGTACATGTCCATCCTGGTGAGGTGGACACCCGTGTTAGCTGACCAGATCCGGATGGTTCCGTCATCAGAGCCTGCAAATGAGGAAGAATGAAAGAAAAAAACTTCTAAGTATGCCTTAAGTTTACATGATTGTAATTGTAGATTAAACTGCTTCAATGTCAAAAATTGGACGAATCAGCCATGGTACATGTAAGTTGATTGAAGAAGGACAATTGCACATGGTACAATGTATGGCAAACTAAACAAGAAATAAAATAAATGTGTTGAATAAGACCTAATGTCGAATAAAACCTAACATATCTTAATCATTCAAACAATAAGGGATGGCACAAGATAAAGTGTAACAATCGAATGGGCTAATCACAAGTTTCTGTATTTTTTCTAATAACAAAGCATTCCTTTATATATCTACCTATTTTTGCGTTGTGGGAACCATTACATGTAAATATATATTCAAATCTGTCTCCAACATCTGGTGTGTTACGCCGAAAGGCGGTTATACGGGCTATACAGATACAAATATACAAAGATAAGTTACCAGAAATGACTGTATCAGCATCATTGGCCAGTCCGAGACAAGTGACCGTGCCGGTGTGTCCAGACAGCGTCTGTTCGATCTGTCCAGTGTTCAGGTTCCACACGATGACCGTCTTGTCCACCGAGCCGGAGACCACACGCTGCTTCTGCTCGGCCACTTGGACACAGGTGACCACGTCATCATGGCCGGCCAGGATCTGTCATTACCCAACCAATCAAATAAAGCAGTCAATCAATCAAGAACTTAAGTAACCCAAATGAAGCAAACAATCATTCAATCAAGCAAGCAAGCAAGCTAGCAATCAGTCAAACAAGCAAGCAAGCAATCAAGTACATTCACCGTCCAAATTCCTTGTTCGAAATCTTTTTACAGTGACAGTTTCTTTCCCTGTACGGCCAAGCTTTGGAATGCTTTGGAATTCCCTCCCCGACAAGTGTTTCCCACCAAACTACAATCTACAGGCTTTCAAATCAAACGTTCACCGCCATCTCTTGACATAGCCATGTCCCTCTCATCTTTCTAGTTCAATGCAGAGAAGTGGTCGCATAGGCCTTGCATTGAACTACTCCGTTAAAAAATTTGCAATATGCATAGACAGTCGACAGATATTCTGCAAGATCACAAAAAAACAATTTTACTCTTGACTGTTACCGTAACAGTACATCAGATTAGCTTGCTGTAGAGGCAGATTGAGATTATAACCTATTCAATAAATAGAAAATGTTCTGCTTTCTAGAAACAATTGAATCACTGTGATCATCATAGTCACTGTGGTATAAATGAAAAGGGACAAGCCGGTACCTGTGTAAGTTTGCCAGTCTTGGCCTCCCAGACTTTGAGTGACATGTCATGTGACCCTGTCACGCATAGCTGACTGTCCAGAGAGATGGCGATACACGAGATGCTGTCCACATGCTTGATGGACTGTACCACCTTCCCATCACTCAGGGTCCAGATCTTCATCACATTGTCTCTGTCACCTGGGATGACATACTTGTACAATCAGCAACAACACAAACCTTACACTGTACAATTAGGCCTGCCCCAGAGGCATTGCCAAAAACACAGAGAACTGGTACAGTATAGTCTGCTTCCACTGCAGCTGTAATTTCATACATAATTGTAGTGTTCTAAACAGCATCGTCTTTCTGTCACTTGGCGGAATTTTGTCTCTCATACAGACAAAAATTTTGACAAAAAGATATCATGGAAAGAGATTAAACTATACTTTAGTCTACTTATAAAATTTACCACTCAAAATGCAGGAAATAGCAATTTTGATTGGGGTGAAGATTTCAATATTTTTCAAGACTTTGAGTCTTAAAAAGTTTGAGAAGTTTCGGACAGCGTTACCTGACACTGCATTCTGGTTGTCAGGAGTGACAGCCACCAGTAGTGAAGGGCCGGTACAGGAGAGAAGGATGTTCCCAGACTCGGCCTGCCACAGCTTCAAACTGTTCTTGATGTCAGCAGAAAGAATCCTGCAATTATGGCGATTAAAAAGGACATGTACGTTATTTTTTTATTAGTTAATATAATTGTATTGCATAATTCCCAATAAGCAGGGGCTTGAAAGGAGGCAGCCAGCTTTACATTGAATTTCCATTTACTAGATCCAACAGGTACAGGTATAGTCCATTTTCATAATTTTATATACCTGTTGAATATGTTCCAAGACTGTTGAATATGCTTTGCAACCCATTGTGTTCTTTTAATATGACAAGCCTAAGGATGATGCTTTGTATTTCTTAGTAGTGTTTTCTTATTGTTTGTACATGTATCTGTACGGACTAAGATCACACAAGTCAGCTAGCCTTTAGTTGGCTGTGGTGTTTTGTATGTTTTGTAATGTTTTTCTCTCAATAAACCAATTGTTTTATGGAAGTACAAAGATGTAAGAATGTCAACTATACACTCATATACACTATACACAACCATACACTCTTTAGGTTGAGACTAAAGCACCAAATACCAGAATGTCAGTGAATCAAGGTTTCAAAGGAACATTAACTTAAAGTAAGCTTTTTGTTTCGTGACCCACCTTGTGTCATCAGAAGTCACCGTGACGTACGCTATGGGAGCAGAATGTTCTACAAACGACAGGACCACCAGTCCGTTGTCCACGCTCCACACCTTGATGGTGGTGTCTTCGGAACCCGACACGGCGAATGTTCCGTTGCTGGAGAGCGCCACGCATGTGATGGCCTTTACGTGATCTTGTAGGTGATGCAGCATCTGTGGCATATAGTTTATGTGAGGACAATACTTGTCTTCAGGTTTTTAAATAACAAGCCGCCAGTGGATCCAAAATCTAATCATTTTGAGGTCTCATCAAGACCTACCCACCTACCAAGTATAAAAACAATCCAACAAAGCCTTCTCGAGTAATCATGTTAACACACACATACACACACATACACACACACACACAAACACACACAAACGCCCCTGAAAACATAACCTTCTTGGCGAAGGTAATAAAATGGATTTAAAAACTGATACGCACGACTTAACAAAATATTTAGGTACAAGAGTTTTCAGACGGCATCCACCATCTTTCTTCAGCAACTAACAATGAGGATAGAAGTCAACACAGATCACATGACTGGATGAGGGTTTAAATGGGGGTAGTCGGTAGTGGCCTTGGTCGCATTTTACACAAGTTCAAATACATGCATTGGGAAAACAATTCAGAGTAAACAAAATATACGTTTTATATCAAACTGTTAATGTAGTAGTAACTGTTACTTCAAACAACAAACAATAAACTTCTTGCATGTATGTACACAATATTGGCCACGTACCTGAAGTAAAACAAACAAACAAACCTTGTATGTGTCCATGCTCCAGAGTTTACAGCTTCCGTCCTTCCCGCCCGACAGCGCGATGCTGCTGCCGTCCCGCTCCACGGTTCCCACGGTGACACACGTGACGGACTTACTGATGGAGTCTGTCTCCTCGCGGTCCACCGGCATCTTGTCCAGGTTCCACACATGAACAGTGTCGTCCTGTAGGATTGGGCAAGGTTTGGGACTAGTCTTTATCCTTCAGCCTGCTAGGGTAGAATTTTTTTTTTCATTTCAAAATAACAAAACAACACAAAGTAGTTCCACGGATCCTCAAACATAAACAAACAAAGTATACGGGTACAATGACAGACAATATACTTATCAAATAAAATGAAATACAAAATAAGAAGAGGGTATGTTGACAAAACGGAAATGAAGACAGCTGCCTAAACAAAATAAACAAGACTGATTATGTCTAGAGTATTTATTATAGGCTAGAATTTTGGCACCAAATTTGAGTCAGGCACCAGGGAGAGGGTTAATGAAGTTCAATGAAGATTCCCTCAGAACTGTTTCTGGTTACTAATAGTATTGGCTCATATGGTTGTTTTCATTTTTGAGCTCGTTTTAAAACATTTTTACTGTACCCAATTCAAAGATGGTTCCAATATTGATAAAGGAATACAGAAAAGTTAAAAAATAATGGTTTGAATCATTTCCTAGACCTGTCATGAGATGTAACGTTACCTCAGCAGCAGACAGGATGAAGTGGTCGTCGTGAGAAATGGCCACATCTGTGACGGGAGCCTGGTGCCCCAGGAGGGTGTGCATCAGGGCCTTGGTACGGATGTTAAACACCAGAATACTGCCATTTTCACAGCCCAGGGCGGCAAACACGCTGTCGTTTGCTATGGCAACGCATGTCACCTGAAGTTGATCATAATAAATCAGTTAGTCAATCAATCCTTATCTTTAGATTAAATTAATGTAACCCTGTAAATTTCCATCAGATCTTTTTTTTTGGAAAATTCAATTTCTGGACCTGTCCTTGGTGCTGATCAGCCAGTCATGTCCCATTCTTAGCCAATGAGACTGTATTTTTACCTGTCCTTAGTGCTGATTGGCCAGCTGTACTGTAATTTCAAATGCTCTTGGTGCTGATTGGATACTAACGTGAACAACATCATTCATGACATTCTGTAATGAAAACATTGTACAAAGTAGCTTTTACCTTTCCTTTGATTCCGAGTAGTTGATGAACAAGACTGCCTGTGGTCAGAGCCCAAACATGGATGTCTCCGTTCTCACACCCAGACACAAGGAAACTGTTGTTCTTAGACAGTACCATGCTGACCACGGGGGTGACCAGGATGGGGAGAGGAGGGAGGGGGGATGAAGGTGGGGTGTTGCCTCCTGTGTGTTCGTCATCCATCGAATCACTGGGCTCGTCTTCTTCTGATTTCTTCTTCTTCTTCTTGGGCTTCTTCTCTTTCTGAATTGGAATCAAAGAATGTTTCTTTGCTCATTTAAAGTAACTACTAAACCTTAATCTTCTTAATCTAAAGTGACCTAATTTGTAGGTTTTTGGCTTTAGAAAAATAAGATAAAAAAGACTACAAAGGTAACATTTGCAAAGCAAATGAATAATGTTTACCTTCACATTGTCTAGCCTAAACTACTCCTAACTCTCACTCAAACACTTTTGTATAATATATGATAACTAGCCCCTCTAACTCTGTCCTGCCACTTGCTACATAATGTGTTTCAATACCACAGGCTGTCTGCTACAGCAACAGTTACCATGATGACAGCTGTCTGATCCAGGTCATTGACCTTAACATTTGTTTGGAAGGGAAGAAGAGGAAGGAGAACAATTATGTTTTCCTTCTGCAAAGGAAGGAAAAAAACATCTCACACAGCCTGTTCCCCCTTGTTGGTAATTGGACCAGTCCTGACCTGTTCCTCCTTGGGTGGTTCTTCCTCGGGCTGCAGTGCCCAGATGGTGTTTAGCAGCTTCTTCTTGTTGAGTAGCCAGACGTGGATGCGACAGTCGGCGCCGGCGGTGACCAGGATGTCGTCGTGTCGTGTTAGCGTGATGCAGGTGATCGCCGCGGTGTGCTGCTCGATAACCTGCTGAGGTTCCCGACACTCGAAGCTGAAGACGCGCACAATGTGATCCTGGGAAAGGAACAAGAAATATTCTATTTCTCTCCCTGCAGGTGTCCAGTCTATCGTAGTTGTTGTGGGCTCTCTTTGGAGCTGTTACAGTAAGTTTTTGCCCACACAGCTCAAATGGCTGAGTTTTGTGCCTGTAGGGATTTTCTACAACCTGAGTTAGATCAGCCTTATCATGGCAAATGAGGCAAGAAGAAAATATTAAAAAGCTATGTTTACCATTCTAGAGCTTAAAAAAGTACAGCATACTTGAATAACTGCAAAATCCCCAGTGTCTCAAATACATTCAAGCTTCAAATAGCCTTATATTCGCATAGCATTGAATAGCCTTATTTTTTGTTCTATGATGGCTGCCATGTCAGAAAGGTGTGTAGTCAGACGTACTTTGGCACCAGTGGCGAAGATTTGGTCGTTGTGAGCCAGGGTCATACACATGACCCCTGCGGTGTGTCCCGAGTAGGTGCGCAGGCCCTGCCCGGTCTCCAAACACCAGGACTGGACGGTCTTGTCATCTGACCCTGACAGGAAGAACTTACCACTGTGGGAAAGGCTGGGAATGGAAAAAACAACAAGAGTGAATGATCTTTATGGCATGTTCTTGCACACATGGCTAATGCAAGAGTCTGACAGTTTGACTGATTAAAAATGCCTTCTGATTAACTTGTTTGATTGATCAGAATCCCAACATGTTTTGTCACCATAAAGGAAGAGAATGTGTGGATCTGTCCTTGGTGCTGAATGTGGATATCCATTGGTTTTTGTTATTTTTGATGATATTTTCAAGGTTATGGGCAACTGTATATTGTATACTGAAGGTAAAATATCATTATCTGTAGTGTTGATAGAAAACAAGCATATATTCAATATTATCCCTATTGTATATAATCAATTGAAAACAGCTAAACATATTACGCTACTACTAAATGTATCCTATAAATGAATGAATTTGAAATTGTTTACAATACTAAGTGAAACATGTGGCTATTCTATTTCAAATACCTATCAACTAGATTTGGATTATGTTTTTCAGTCTGTCAGAAGATGACTGATCAATCTTACAAAGAAAATTAATATGAAGTTGGACATCTTACTAGATGCAGTTGATGTTATCCTTGTGTCCCTCGAATGTCTGCACAGCTTCGCCGGACCCCACACTGTACATGGAGATGGTATGGTCCGTTGCCGTGCAAATGACATGCTGGGTGTCGGCTGTCGTCACCATGTGTCTCACACCTGTCAATCAAATGTATTTGAAAATGCATCTGTTTTGGTATAAATGATAAATAGTATGGGGAAAGTTGAACTTTGCCCAAATCAAAGAGTAACACAAATTTTCAACCATGCAAACTTCTGGACAGTAATGGTTTTTATCAGTTGAGGTCAACCACACTCTTCATCAGCTCCAAAGGAGAACCCCCCCACAAGGCTCAAAGGTCCACTTTTTTGTCCACTTTTTATGTAAAGGTCCACTTTTTTGTCCACTTTTTATGTAAAGGTCCAAGATTTTTCTTGAAAAGATGGACTGGAATCGTAGAAAAACTGCTCCCTTTGTCATAATAAATTTGAATAAAAATTTATCTCTGATTTTTTCTCTGATATCCTCTCAAAAATGCACGAAATGCCATTTTAGAAGGTTCATTTTTCAAAATTTTCCGGGGGAGCATATCCCCAGACCCCCCTAGGAACCTTGCGCCTTCGGTACGGCGCTCGAGGTCCCCTCAAGCAGTGGGAAGAACCCCCCCATTCAAAATCCTGGATACGGGCATGAGCTCATTTGCAAGGTAACGTTACATATTACCATGGCAACTGTGGGTTACATGAGAGCACACAGTTACATAGAAGAGCACGTTGGCAGAACATACAATGTAATATGCCTGCATGGAACCAGGATTTTTCACTGACTTCATCAGAATGTTTGACTGTCAACGTTCAATCCGAATTTTGCCTGTTGCAGTTTGTATCTTTTATGGCACAACATTTGAAAACTATAGACAGCAATTGTTATCCGTATATATGCAAATATGACCTTAAACAAGACGTTCTGCAGAAGTCACAATACATTACAGGTTTTGTGCAGGCACAGTACATTCTGCCAAGTTGAACGTATTACATAGTACTACCATGCAGGCTTTTTCTGAGTGCTGAGATCTTAACCGGGTTGAAGAAGAGACAGAGTGCGTCTTCAAAGCTCCCCAGTGTGGCTGAACCTAAGTTGTGTGTTTTATATAGTAGATTCATTCCTAAAGCTAACCGACATCTTGCACATGCAGTCGTCCCTCAGTAAGACATCTGGAGCCGCATAGTTCCCGTTTAGAACTTTTATTCAGCCTGTCACACGACCGGTTTTGCCTGGGTGGCTTCTTCAAGTGTACAGAGGCTAATGACACATTCAGTTGTGTGTATTGGTATAAATAGTTGTCATAATTTTTCTGAGTAACTTTTTTCGCACCTGGACAGTCCAGTGTCTTGACCAGGCTTTTCTGCTTGGTGATGAGCCATGAGGTATGGGGGAGCAGGAGGGCCTTGTTATGATTCCGGCCCCACTCTAGTGCCTGCTGAATCAGGGAGTCTAGGGCCTTGTCACCTTTATCTGTAAAACAGTATAACTCTACATTGAGCAATTGCTAATGGTCAACAAGTATTGTTATACAATATAATATAGTATTGTTATACAATACTTGTTGTGGGATTTTCATTGAGGCAATAATAGAAACAACCATTAACAATGGTCTATGACAATATACAGTGGAGTTGAAAATAAAAGAAATACTGAATTGGATGCACAAGCATGACAAGGTATGGATCAAGATAATTTTAGTCGAAAAAACAAATATTCAACAACCTAACATGGATGGTATCGTAAACCATATAATTAGGGGGCTGCATAGAGAAATGAATTGGAATACAAAATATGTATTTCGTATCATATAAGATACCATTGGACGATTGGGATTCAAATGATCTATTTTTATGGAAGTCTGTGTGATCACTGTTAGAAGCCTGGTAACAAGTTATAACAAGGCCCGGAACACTAATGTATTGAACATTATGACACAGAATGCTACAGTTGAATTTGCAATTTAATGCTACATATTAAGTTGGTTTACCTTTCATGGATACAAGTCTAGAAATCAGCTGTGCGCCCAGTTGTTGTCCGTCCGCAATCAGCGCGCTTATCGACGCCTCCATCGCCAGAAGAACCAGGTTAACTTCCGCGTCTAGCACGTGTTGTGACGCCACGTGGAAACAGTGAAGGAGTTCATACACCGAGGAACACTGCATCTTAGCCAGGAGATAGGGGAAACAGCACAGGGCCTTGGACTTCAGGTCCCGTAAGTTACCTGAACAATGAGAGGAAAGTTGCCTTGTTTTTTTAATGTACATGTAAAAAAACAAATATTACAAGAATAACATATGAATGCTGGTATACATGTTGAGGACTTGAAAGACTTTGCACACACACTTACACACACTCACTCACACACATGCATGTGCCTACACACACATACAGACACATAGAAGAAAGGAAACAGATAGTTACTTCAATCCTACACTTAAGTTCCCAATAACATTGAAAATACCATTCAAAAATAACAAACACCAACGGATGTTCACATTCAGCACCAAGGACAGATCCACACATTCTCTTCCTACATGGTGGCACACACACACACACACACACACACACACACACACACACACACAGTCATACATCTACATGTACACAATGGTTATATTGGTGCAATACACAATTACCAGCCAGCACCAGTTGGTACCACAGCTCATTCTGCTGTCTGATGTTGAACTGCTGTGTTGCTGCTGATGGTGGTTCAGTTGGAGTCCCATTCTTCACCTCTGCGTTGATGTGTGACGGTGACAGTTTACTCTCACCATGGCTACCAGACAAGATGTCTGCAGAAGAAAAATGTCACTTATACCCTTGTCCTGCGGAGCCCAACAATTGTTGTTTTGCACATACATCATACACTATATATCACTCTGTATAGGTACGATTTGGGGGTATTTCTCATGCAACACATCACACTGTAGCGAAATGCAATGAATGCGGAAGTAACTATGCCACCGTAGGGCAAAAAAAGTTAAGAGTCTATGACCTAATTAAGATATGAAATTATTGAAAAATATTGTGAAAAAAATGCCAGCAGGACAAGGGTTAAAAATAACAAAACAAGAAATCTGACAATCCAGACCATTGCGAAGTATATGATGCAGCACAATTTTTACCTCAACTTCTGACATTTCAGACATTACATTAACAACATTATCAGTAATACTGCATATAATAACTTAAAAGAGGCCACGCCAATTTGATTTCTTGGTTAACAGATTTTTCTAGAAAAATAATGGAGTGGGCGGGCGAAAAAAAATAAAAACAAAAACAGGCCTAGGCATCCTATTATGGCCCAAAATGGTACATGAAGTCAACACACCAAGCTGGTTCAAAATTTAAACAATGAATTTTGAACTTTTAATGATACCACTGCATTGAAAGATGGAATAACTGTAACAACTAGTAAGAAAAGAACTGTTTTTAACTGTTCAGGGCAAAATATGAGCATTTGCAGTTGATTCTGAATTTCTATTTTTATTTGCAAATCAGAAAAAAATGAAGCGGGCGAATCCGTTTACCAAGAAATTAAATTGGTGTGGTCACATGGGTGATATCAAAATTATACATGTCATACACAATATACAGGCTATCCTCCCCCTACTGAAAGTCGTATATTATATAATTAAGCCATTAGTCCCAAAAATTAGCGTAACTCCTACAGTGGACAGCAGCTGTTGATACACAATTCAACCACACCACATACAGCACAGGCGTGTCAAATTATTTCAATATCTGAAAATAAAGACACAAAAAACACATCATCTTGACCCAAGTACATGTAACTACTAGTGATCATATACTTCAAATCAATGAAATCCTTCAAACCCATTGTGAGTTATAGCTGTGAACACACAAGTATGATCGAAAACAGTACTTTCCTCCAGTAGGATATCTCCTTTTCTCTACATGTAACATGTTAGTTTAAAGGAGTTGTATAAATTATATAAGACCACTTTTCAAGCTGATGGGAGGAACATAACATTGCTCACCTGCGAAGTCCCCATGTTGTTTCCTGATTGGCTGTTCCCCTCCTCCGTATCTTTCTAGCGCCACCTTTTGAAAGGCCTCATGGGCCAGATGCACGACCAAAACCCCATCCAGGAGGCTGACAGTCATCACATTATCTGAAAAGAAAAGACATCGGCACATATTTGCAGCTTATTTCCATTGAGACGGATGTCACAGACCAGTGTTCTAGCTAGCGTCATTCTTGATGGAAGTTTGCTGGTCATGAAGGACAAAAATTTTTTCCAATCTGACATCGTTGATGTACAATATTCAGCATGTATAGAAATGGAAAGAGATGTCATTGAACTAAGCTTGACGTGTATAATAGCAAAATTTGCCCCTCAACTGCAGGAAATAGTGGCTCACAGGGTCAAGATGAAGTCCTGAAAAGCTCCTAAAAGAAGCCTTGGCATTTTTTAAAAACAATTCCATGAATGTGCCATAGAAATTCATAAACAGTCCTGTACCATGTAACTCAGAAAGGTGGCAGACAAATGAAGAGATGGCTCAACAACATAAAAGAGGACTTCCACCACTTCAGCTTACTCAGTGGAAATCCACAGGATAGATGCAAATGGCAAGCTGCCATCAAGCCAGTGTCAGCTTCAGCATGTAAGTACGTCTAACACTTGGGACACGGGGAACAACTGACATCAAATGGACTAGTGAGTGAGTGTGAGTGAGTGTGAGTGAAGACTAAGCATTACCTAGGTCGTGTTTGATGGCGGCCCAGAACGTGTGAGGGAAGGTGCGGTCCCCACAGCTGGTCTGCTGGCACAGGGGGTCCATAATGGCATCACAACAGGACAGCATACACAGCAGCTCTGTCTCCGTCACACCAGCCCGGCCTGCGAAACAAGAGGGTCGCACCCATTTGTTAGGAATCGTTGGTTTTCAGACATCTCTAAAGGCACCCAAAGTGATTTCAGGGCAGTAAAACTGAATTCTTAAAGTCAATTTTCTTGTCATTTCAATAAACACTATCGCACAGAAAATTTACTAATGGAAAACGATTGCTTGTTTCATATCCTAGGCTGGTTCTAGCTCTAGGCTGGTTCTAGCTATTTATTGGTGGTACCAAAAACAAAGGGACTCCTCTTGTAGCTTCTATTGGGGCTATTGCAAATGTTTTAAGTACAAAATTGCAGTTACTTTCAATATCAGCCAAATTTTCTCATCCAGAATATCATTTGTACTGCCTCCCTGAAATTGTATTGGATGCCTTTAAAATTACCTTTCACTATAGGACCTCAGGAAAAAACTAGCATAGGTGTTTACACTTGTTTTCCATCCCATCCATTTAAGATTGGGTAAATTTAATTAGGATAAATAAACAAACCTGCACAGATGCTGGCCAGCACATGTCCCAAACAGACTTGGTCGTGTCTACTTTCCAGACCGTCGAATATGATGTTGGCTGCCTCCTCGGCTGACTGCGGCATCTTGCTGCCGTTCTGACACAGCTGCGGGCTGCCGCTTTCCACCTCCCGACACAGCAGGGTCAGCATCAGGGGGCTGCACGGCTCCTGCAGGGCATTCTTCAGGAGGACCTGTAGATGGGACAGCAAGGTACAACAATTTAGAACAGACAGGACAGCAAGTTACAAAATTTCAGAAGGCAAGACAGCAAGGTACAACACTTAAGAGCAAACAGAACAAGGTATAACAGTTCAGAACTGAGTGAGGACAGCAGGGTACAGCACTTCAAAACAGACAGGACATGTACAACACCTCAGAACAGACAAAACAGCAAGGTACAACACTTCAGAACAGACAGGACAGCAATGTTCCACACTTAGAATAGAAAGGACAGCAATTACAGCTCTTCTAGAAGGTACAGCACTTAGACTAGAAAGCAAGGTACAGCACCTCAGTGTGGCAAAACAGACAGGAAAGTAATATACAGCATTTTGGAACAGCTTGACAGGTCAGGAAACCAACAAATTGAATTAGTATGACCTAAAGAAAACTCACCCTCTGCTTGGCTGTTATTCTCCTCTTCCTGTGTGTAAAGTAGGAATCCATCAATATCATCCTCTCCTTCTCGGTCAAGTCCGACAGTTTCACAAATCTCTGCTTGTCTGCTATCCTCTCCTTCAGCTCCTCCAGCACGCTGCCATCCGTCATGCTCAGGACCATTTTTATGCCTGATGGAAGCTCGGCGGGGAGCCAATCAAAGGTGGGGAACCCCTCTGTGGGTAGTAGTCTCTCCACGCCATCTAGCAGAATGACTGTCATGTTCCCCCACTTAGAGGCTTTCAGGAGAAGGTCGTTGAAGAAAGAGACCAGCTTTCTGTACTCCACGGGTATCTTCTCTAGCTCCCCCTCCAGGTTGGTTGCACACAGCTGCTGACAGATTTCGTTGAGCAAGGTGTGAGTGCAAGTGTGGTTGTGGATGTAGCGAAGAACGCAGATGGGCTGCGTCCCCGTCCAGTCGGCTAACGACGTGGCCACTTTACCGATGACTGCAGACTTGCCGCTCCCTTGTCCCCCGTATAAAACAATTGGTTTGGACTCCTCCGAAGTGACCAGCTCTCGTATGGCGCTCATAACGTCCTCCCGTGCAACAAATTTCTGGCTGTGAGCAAGACTCACCGCCGAGCTTTCTAACAACTTGTAGTAGAGCTCTCTGATGGGTGTTTCTTTTAGATACTGCATCTCGGCGTAGTTGTCGACGACTTTGTCGATCAACTGCTTCAATTTGGCAACAAACTGTGAGCAGAAATCTGCAAGGTAGGTCTTGTGTTCCGTGTGTGTGGATGGGTCCAGTCCGCCGTCCTTCCACACCGTACCTAACCGGACCGTATTTTCAGGGTCAACCTTTTCGTTTATGTAGGAATCGCGGAGGGATCTTAGCTTCTCCTGAGCCGCGCTGTCAAGTTCTAGGCTACTGTTTATGTCCGTGAAGTTCTTGGCACTCTGATCCGACAGACTCTTGGAAAGTCCTTCTAACGTGCGCAAGAAAAACACACAATTCTTGGACGGCTCAGAGTCGAGGCTAAGAGCCTCCAAAACCTCTGCTTCTACACCTGGAGAAATAGAAGAAATCCAAACAACATGATTTTCTACACATAGTAAACAATGCTTTTGATAAAGAGATTGGAATAGCTGGTTGGGTGGCATGAGTGTGAATACAACTTGTGTCTCAAATAATTGGTCACAATGGTGACTTGAGTTGGACCAATGCTCATAAGTCTGGACTAAGATGCAAAATTGTAATGCATCATGAGCTCTTTCTAATTTTCTAAAGGAGAAGAGATATTTTGCAATAGACAAGTTTTATTAGCGATTACATGCTGTAAAGATTTGCGTCACTTCTTGTTTCATTTGACCAGTCTTTCCCTCCTAAAATCTGCTTGTTTTTATTGATATGGTATTGTATCCCACCAAACTATGGACAGACAGCAAGGAAAACTTAACTCTGTCAAAGACTCTTAAACTATATCTTTACAAACTTGAAGGTACAGACTTCCCCTCAGACTTTTTTCTCCAGTTCAGCATCATTTGTTAAAGCCAAGAAACAACACATCAAATCAGTATATTCTCACAACTGGGCCTATTGAGTTGACAAAAGAAAATCACCAGAAAGACAAGGGAAAAAACAGCAGCTTGACACTGTATGTACCTGATAACTGGTACTTGCTGAGCTGCTTGGTACTGATAGCTCTGCGCTGGTGTGCAGCCTGGGCAGACTTGTAGAGAAGGTCCTGTAGAGCGTTGAAGGTGTTCAGCCACACGTTGTGATAGTGGTCCATCAGTTCTTCATTCTCCTCTGACCTGTAAGAGTTTTTCGTTGGATATGTGGTCAATGTTGCATCAGAATTTTGCGTATTGTATAGACAATATCTTTTCTAACACAACATTTGAAAACTGTAGACAGCATGTCTTCCTTATATACAAAATGCAAGATATTCTGCAAAAGTGCTGTGCAGGTTTCCCGCTGGTGTGGTATGTACTGCCGACTTACTACAGGGCTCGAAACTCACTTTATAGGTGCACTGGTGCACCGAACCTAAAAAATTGGGTGCACAGGAAATTTTTTGGGTGCACCATATTAAATTATCTCATACAACTAAGACTTATTATTTTTCTGACACTTAGCTGTCAAGAATATACTGTATACTAGTAAACATTAGATATCTTTACATACATTGTATGTAAACCTATAAAACATCTAGGTGCACTGGTGCACCCACAGAAAAAAAATATGGGTGCAGAGTTCCAACTTTAGGTGCGCTAAGGTGCACATGCACCCAGCATTTTGAGCCCTGTACTATAACTAGCAGCTGTTTTTGAGCACAGCAAAACTGGAGAAAAGCTAGCAGACTGTTTGGATGTCCATCCTTACCTGTCCCCGTAGTGTGGTAATTTGGCCTCGATGGGCTGTAGGACATATTCTGGGGGTACTGCATTCTCGTCCTTCACATACCACTCCTCCAATAGGCTCACATCTGAAAATGTAACAATAATGATGAAAGACCTTCATTGTACGTTTATGCTTTTACAAGCTAAGTACACTGTTCATGTATTCTGAAGTAAAAATTACAGGGATATCTTATACTAGAACAATACACGTCAGACTAATGTGAAATACTACTGTAATTCCTGATTTTTTCACAGTACTGTTAAGTTCACTCTTTTCACTGTCACTTCTGTACCGGGAACTTATCATTACAGTTAACAAATGATTCCTGGACTTTCTTTTTACTGCACCTGTCACCACCGTGAATATATAGTTCCATGAACATGTTCAATTTTCTCAGACCGTGAACTTTGCTACTGTGAACATAAAGTGAATTACAGTATGTTGAGGTTCAGTTTCTTCTCACTTCTTAAGGCAGTCCTTTACGGGACACCTGGTACAATTTATTGTACAATGCATACATGTATCTAATCCAGCAGATATATGAACGTCATCCCTGAACATAGCACCAAATGATTAATGGAATTACTGCACGATTTTTGAACAACACAATACATGTATAAGTTACAATAACAGTGTGTAAGAAAAGAATTACCTTTGCCAAGTTGGATGGCAGTATCCCGTACGTGACAGAATTCAATCTCATTGATATGTTGGGGTAAGGGACACTCCCCATACCTGTCTCCTATTATGGACTGGATAGAAAAAACAAAAAAAAAAGATGAAAATCACAGCATATCTTTCAGTTAAGCATTTTTCAGACCAAGAAACAACAAATCAAATTAATGTTGCCTTAAAATAAAATTGCTTGTCTAATGCCTTGAGTTTAATATGAGTTGATTTTATTTTATTTTTAACCAAAATAGTATAGCATTACATATTTATTATTTTTCCTGTGGTCCTACCTACCTCATTACAGGACACACAGGGAAAAAAAAATTATACAAAATATACATGCACTGACAATTAACAATAACTTGACATGAAGTCCATAACTTTTTTTTAATACACCAAATACAAAACAATCATTGTACTCTTAGTAAGTCTTACAACTTCATATCATTCCATACAGAAAGTGCTTTTTCTGAGCATTTGTTTAAGGTTTTAGAAGACCAATGGTTTGTGATTTTGATTGTGAAAAATTAACAGTGGAATTGTTTGTTGTGTAAGAAAGGTGTGGGGTCATACCACAAAGAAGGGGCCACAGGAGACATTGTAGCAGTCCCTCAGCTCCTGTAGTCTCCTGCCTGCAGTGGTATGGTCCGTACAGCTGTCAGTCAGCCATTCATGGTGCATGTCCACAAGCTGGGGGGAGACATACTGACGTTACTCTTCTGACATTATCAAGAGTCACATAACCATCAATACCCATTCGACATCTAGAACCAACTCCCTGACACCGTTGTGGGTAACATCAACAACAACGGCCTGCAGTCTGTCAAAGTTAGAGTCCACCGACACCTCATTCATTGTAATTGAGAACACTTGGCAGCTGTGAGCCACTGATTGCCCACTAAACTGTATTCTTACCATGTGTATGTACAATCAGTGGGTATTGCTCATTATTAGAAATGCAGGATTAGAAATAAGATAACTAAAACATCTACTAGCTGACATTTTCCATCAGAGGGATAGATATGTAGTAACGTTCGTGCATTCAGCACCAAGGACATGTACACATTGTCAATGATACTTTCACGGTACTTTCAAGTTCAGTGTTTTCATTCACTTCTGTACCATGAACTTTCAACCCCTAGCATGCCATGGTGGCAGAGCTCGAAATACTGGGTGCATGTGCACCTTAGTGCACCTAAATTTGGAGCTGTGCACCCAATTATTTTAATATGTGGGTGCACCAGTGCACCCAAATATTTTCGGAGGTTTACGTATGATGTTAAATGTATTGTAGTATACAGCATATTCTTAACATCTAAGCGTTAGAAAAATAATAAAATTATTGTTATAATAACGCTTTCTTCAGAAATAAAACATAATTAGTTTTTGCTGACATTTTTACAATCTTATGTTGTGCACCCAAAACAATTTTTGTGCACCCAATTTTTTAGGTTGGGTGCACCAGTGCACCTATTCAGAAAAATGAATTTCAAGCCCTGCACGGTATGCATTAATAAGTTCTGTGAACATGTCCATCTTTCTCAGACCATGAAATTTTGCTACTGTGATGGTGAAGTGAATTACAGTATTTACTGACAGCCAGTCAGAAAGGACACCTGAGAAGGTTAGAATTCATGCTATTCATTATGCACACAGCCCTTGAAATCAGTGTTTTCCCTAGCATCCATCATTTTATGGGATCCTGTTGCTAATGATGGACAATTTTAGCCATTCCATCATTTTGACATATGAAATTAAAGTGTCCAATGAGGAAAAAGATTAGATCAGAGCAAATCCCACCCGAAGGTACCAAAGTAACTGTTATTCAAGCACCTGGCTACATTTTGAAAACGCTTTCAAACGTGAAAATACCGGATTCAGATATTGGAATTGATATTGTCAAAATTAGTTCATATATAGTTCAGGGACACCAAATTTTCTAAGGCCACACCAATTTAATTTCGTGGTTAACGGATTCGCCCGCTTCATTTTTTTCTGATTTGCAAATAAAAATAAAAATTCAGAATCAAATGCAAAATGCTCGTATTTTGCCCTGAACAGTTGAAAACAGTCCTTTTCATCCTAGTTGTTACAGTTATTCCATCTTTCAATGCAATGGTATCATTAAAAGTTCAAAATTCATTGTTTAAATTTTGAACCAGCCTGTTGACTTCAATTGGCTCCTATCATACCATTTTGGGCCATAATAGGATGCCTAGGCCTGTTTTTATTTTAATTTTTTTTTCGCCCGCCCGCTCCATTATTTTTCTAGAAAAATCCGTTAACCAAGAAATTAAATTGGTGTGGCCTAAACTCAAATTTGTATTAAAATGCGTGGTACCTCATGTGATACGGAATACACTGTATAATATCTTACATGTACATGTATAATTTATAAGGATCTAACCTGAAAGTCCAGCCCATGTTTCTGGCAGTAGGTATGTAGTTCAGGGATGGCATCGGACTTCAGTGCAGCCCTCTCCAATATCGTATCTATAGGAGAAAAACGGGAGAGAAAAAAGATGAAACAATTTCATCACAACACACGGGTTTTTCTACCAACATCAAAAAAATTTCAGAGTGAATCTACAACCTGTTATTCATCATTTGCTAACAGGGCTCGAGATATTTTATCTGCATAACTGCACTCATACAGGTAACATTAAAAATTACTTGAAGAAGACAAATTTTACCTGCGCAACTTAGAGTTTAGGAAGTATAGACCTGGTTAAACCGTTAAGCCATTATTTCTTTTGCACTTCATAGGTGGGGACACTTAATGCAGCAAACAAAAGACAAAAATCCACATAACATCCGTGTCCGTAATATCACCAGGGTCCATAGTATCGCCACCTTGAGAAATAGTGTGCTTAAAGATATTTTTACTAGCTGCAACATACTTTTGGTATGCACTCCTGCACACCTCAAATGTACATACCTAGGGTATGTGCAGTAAAAATATCTTTAAGCACACTTTTTCTCAAGGTGGCGATATTATGGACCCTGGTGATATTATGGACACAGATGTTACAGAATAGGTGTACATGTATATAAACCAGTACATACATAGGTGAAGGTAGACATAAGAAATACCTGCACAGCTGTAATTTTACCTGCGCTAACCAAATCAGGTTAGCGCTGGTGCACCAATGCAGGTGGCATTTTCAGCCCATCCTTGTGCCTTATTGGCTATTTAATTGGCTACAACAAAATTGACGAGGAGGAGGTTTTAACTACCTCCATGCTAAGATAGTTATTTGGTACCCAATTTACGTTGGGTATGGAATTAGGCAGCAGAATGAAGATAAAAAACGAGAGATTAGATAGTATAGACATCCAGGTTGATACATTTTAGGGAGCCTCCTTCACTTACAAGACTTAGTAGAGAAGATACAAATGACTAAAGTTACAGTTTTCATACTACAAGAAATCACAATTTAAAGCCATACGATTATCATAGCTCTGGCCACACCAATTTAATTTGTTGGTTCTCGGATTTTTTCAGAAAAAATATGAAGCGACAGGGCGAAAAAAAATAAAAATAAAAACAGGTCTAAGGCATCCTATTATAGGCTTAAATGCTATGAAATGAGCCATGAAGTCAACACAAAAGGCTGGGTTCAAATTTAAACATTAATATTGAATTAATTATGAACTTTTAATCAAACCACTGCAATGTATATATATAGATGGGAAAACTGTAACAACTAGGAAGAAAAGGACTTTCCTCAACTGTTGGGGGCAAAACATGAGCATTTTTCAGTTGATTCAGGACCAGAATCAATTTCAGAAAAAAACGAAGAGGCGAATCCGAGAACCAACAAATTAAATTGGTGTGGCCTCTGGCTGTTGATTGGAAATTTCTCTTATGAAGTAATATAATAGAGGATGGCATTTTACCTAACAATTTCCTAAAAGCTATTACATACATGTATGCACTTGTGTTATTATCTTGTTTCACGCAGTAATGATGAAATCTTACTCGGATGATTGTAAATAAAACCCTCAAGCAAATTCTAGACATGTTTATCACTATTGAGGAGGGCCCTGGGGAGTGACAATATTTTTGCTGCAATATTGTTCTCATTCCCAGAGTCATCTCCCTCCTCCCTAAGTGCTCTGGGAATGAGCCTGCATCTGTTCAGCCTCATAACTCAGATTAGAATCTCCACTTAGTAAGGGTTCAAGGATAACGCTGCTACATTTTGTGACATATATCAGGATGTGGCGTCGTGTGGTGTAGTGGTACATCACTGGACTATGAAACAGGGAGACCCGGGTTCGATTCCGGGTCGTACCCGAACAAGTCCGAACATGCGCCCAGACGTTGTACCCTTGGGAAAGGTACTTTACACGAATTTCCTCACTTCACTCAGGTGAAAATGAGTACCTAGCTTTGGTTAGGGACGTCCCTCGGATAGGACGTTAAATGGAGGTCCCGTGTTTGGGAGAGCCACACCCCATGCACGTTAAAGAACCCACCGCACTTATCGAAAAGAGTAGGGGACCTTCCCGGTGTGAGTGGTTCAAACCTTACAGTCTTGTCTCAGGGTTGGCATCTTTGAACAGGTGATAGTCACCTGTTATGTCAATCCTTCCACAAATGTGGTAAATCGTCATAAATAAATAAATGTAGGCAAAACAGATCAAAATCCATGATATGTATCACTACCTTGTACATCTGTATGTATAAAAAGCTTTCAGAGACACCCCATGATAAGCAAATGCAATGAAAACAGTCCTTACAGTCTTATTGTCTTAATGATTCAGATTAATGACAAAATTCATATCAAAATATGGGTTTACTCCTTTTTGTTATAGCTTTCATTTTTATGAGAGATACAGCTCACAAAACACCCCAAAGCCTGAGTAATGCTGTGTACCTAAACCTGACCTAAACCCATATTTAGCTTCAGGTCCGGATTCAAGTCCAGACCTAAACCCATGGCATATACAAAATTGCATGTTGGCAACCTTGCAATGTTGTTTCAAGGGCAAAACTTTGGCCACATACATGTAACATGGAGGCTGACACTTGACAATGCCCGATGGCAGTGTTTTCATCATTTTGCAGCACAGATTTTGCAATCTATGGTCCGAATCTATGGTTTTAGGTGGTCAGGTGGAAAGATAAGGGTTATGCGATAATTTTTTTTAATAAGCCTGGAATCGGTTCTTGACTTTAGTTTTTTATTTTTTACTTAAACCTAATCATTTTTACAAGTCCAGAACTGGTCCAGCAAACCGGTACACAGTACTAAGCCTAAGCCATCCCATTGTGTGTTTTGTGATGAACCAGTCTAAACCAGTTTGCGCCTTTCCATTCATTTTTCATCTAATAGGCATCTAACAGAGAAACACTGTATTAATACTCGGCCCACCACTATTGTTGGGGCAATGGCGCAGGTGTGGCATGTAATGGACTAGATAACACCTTTGATTTGCATCATTCATCTTTCTGGGTAAACACTCAGATAGTATGCTGAGATTTATCAAGGAAGTCATAAAAAAAGAATCAATATGCTTCCCACACCAAAAAGCAGTTACTCAAGCAACTGGATATGATTTTGAAAACGTCAGACTTTTCAGCTAGTATCCACTATCCACAATATGCTGCCTTGAAGTTCCCAAGACTTACATTCTACACTTCAAACCTCACTATGGACATGCCAATATGGTTTCTTTGTTCCCAGTTTTTAAAATGACAATGCCTGAATACAAGACTATCTATGCAATACAAATGTATTTGTCACTACTTAAAGTCATAGTATAGGCCAAAGTGGTGTCAACTACATGTGCATGTATATTATTTGCATTCTTGGCTCAAAGCTGTATCCTTGGAAAAGGCACTTTACAAGACTTTCTTTGCTCCATCCAGGTGTAAAATGGGTGAGTTTGGTTGGGTATATAAAAGGATATGAATGGGCTATGGATACGCCCTTCCAAAACTGTAGTCTGGATAAACAATCCACTGCCCCTATAGCCTCAAAAGGGACCTTTCACCTTTTAGTGGGTCAACAACCAATCAATCAATCAATCAATCAATCAATTAATCAATCACTTCAACAACATTCCTGATACAGTAGACAGTTCATAATCAATCCTTTGGATACCATACTACCAACTTGAAAATATTACATGTATGAATGTGTGTGTCTGTAAAGTGTTGCCATGTATCCATGGCATTGATATTTTGTCTGTGGGACTGGAAAGGTCACAAAGTAGAATGGATAAAGGCGTGAAGTCTGCCAGTTTGACTGATTAGAAATGCCTTCTGATTAACTTGTTTGATTGATCAGAATCCCCAGCATATTTTGTCACCATGAAGGAAGAGAATGTGTGGATCTGTCCATGGTGCTGAATGTGGACATCCGTTGGTTTCTGTTATTTTTTAATAGTATCTATGGGGAACTATGAAAACTAACTAATATCTGTCTGTTGCCACTGAACCAAGATAGCAAAATACATATCTAGCTGTTACCTTTATCAAAACTGTTGTGATTAAATCATAATTACTGAGAGGCTATCATAATTGCTACTCTTCTATCATCATTGATGTTTCGCTATCATGATAATTGTTACACCACCACAATCTCTGACACACTATCATAATTGATATCATGAAACACTTTTGGGCTGGAAATACAGTTGCAATCAATGGTAAAGTCTTGTATTTTTTTTACTCATATTGCAGAAAACAGCAAGAAAGAATTTTGAGCCCAGCAACACATCACTACATGACTTACCAGGCTTCAGAGGCAGCTTAAGAGAAAGTAGAAATTGGGCAAATAATCAAATAACATGCCAGGGGAATTGGTCTGCTAAAGGACTACAGTTTTCATAGTGGCAAACTATACAACATAATTTTCCCTGAAAACTGTGCAACACATGTGTATAATGTACTTTAGTGCCTTACATAATGTTATTTGTCCATTTTGCCAATTTCTACTCTTTCCAGCTACCTCTGAAGCATGATAGAGGCTACACCACTATGACTGATGCTTCTGATGTAACCAGTATGTTTAAGTGTAATATTCAGATGATATCTGGCACATCTATTTTGCATAGCTCAACATAGTTTTCAAACTAAATGAAAACAAAATGTGAACAAAAACATTTCTGTTTTTAAATGCAGAAAGGCTTCCCACTAGTGTTCAGGTCATTCAGTAATCCGAAAATGTATAGCCCTATTTACATTTTGCCAGTCCCCCAAACCTTTGAGTGAAGTACACTGAAAGCAACTGTCTGAACAACTTTCCATTTATCTTCGACTAGAATAACTCAGACGGAGTTGAGTGGAGACTAAAATACCATCTCTGCGATCTAATGGAAATAGAGAACTTGGCTTTTATCCTAATGGTGACCTTGATAATATCTTCAGGCCATTTGGTGCATATGACAATGGAGTATCTGGAAAATAGTTCCTGTCACGACTATTCCATTTTTCTGATGGGGGAGGCGGGTTAAACTGCACAGGCTTTGTGTCATTGATT